TTCTAGTTCTGTTCTAGTTCGGTTCTAGTTCTGTTCTAGTTCTGTTCTAGTTCTGTTCTAGTTCTGTTCTAGTTCTGTTCTAGTTCTGTTCTAGTTCTGTTCTAGTTCTGTTCTAGTTCTGTTCTAGTTCTGTTCTAGTTCTGTTCTAGTTCTGTTCTAGTTCTGTTCTAGTTCTGTTCTAGTTCTGTTCTAGTTCTGTTTCTAGTCTGTTCTAGTTCTGTTCTAGTTCTGTTCTAGTTCTGTTCTAGTTCTGTTCTAGTTCTGTTCTAGTTCTGTTCTAGTTCTGTTCTAGTTCTGTTCTAGTTCTGTTCTAGTTCTGTTCTAGTTCTGTTCTAAGTTCTGTTCTAGTTCTGTTCTAGTTCTGTTCTAGTTCTAGTTCTGTTCTAGTTCTGTTCTAGTTCTGTTCTAGTTCTGTTCTAGTTCTGTTCTAGTTCTGTTCTAGTTCTGTTCTAGTTCTGTTCTAGTTCTGTTCTAGTTCTGTTCTAGTTCTGTTCTAGTTCTGTTCTAGTTCCTGTTCTAGTTCTGTTCTAGTTATGTTCTAGTTCTGTTCTAGTTCTGTTCTAGTTCTGTTCTAGTTCTGTTCTAGTTATGTTCTAGTTTGTTCTAGTTATGTTCTAGTTCTGTTCTAGTTCTGTTCTAGTTCTGTTCTAGTTCTGTTCTAGTTCTGTTCTAGTTCTGTTCTAGTTCTGTTCTAGTTCTGTTCTAGTTCTGTTCTAGTTCTGTTCTAGTTCTGTTCTAGTTCTGTTCTAGTTCTGTTCTAGTTATGTTCTAGTTCTGTTCTAGTTCTGTTCTAGTTCTGTTCTAGTTCTGTTCTAGTTCTGTTCTAGTTCTGTTCTAGTTCTGTTCTAGTTCTGTTCTAGTTCTGTTCTAGTTCTGTTCTAGTTCTGTTCTAGTTCTGTTCTAGTTCTGTTCTAGTTCTGTTCTAGTTCTGTTCTAGTTCTGTTCTAGTTCTGTTCTAGTTCTGTTCTAGTTCTGTTCTAGTTCTGTTCTAGTTCTGTTCTAGTTCTGTTCTAGTTCTGTTCTAGTTCTGTTCTAGTTCTGTTCTAGTTCTGTTCTAGTTCTGTTCTAGTTCTGTTCTAGTTCTGTTCTAGTTCTGTTCTAGTTCTGTTCTAGTTCTGTTCTAGTTCTGTTCTAGTTCTGTTCTAGTTCTGTTCTAGTTCTGTCTAGTTCTGTTCTAGTTCTGTTCTAGTTCTGTTCTAGTTCTGTTCTAGTTCTGTTCTAGTTCTGTTCTAGTTCTGTTCTAGTTCTGTTCTAGTTCTGTTCTAGTTCTGTTCTAGTTCTGTTCTAGTTCTGTTCTAGTTCTGTTCTAGTTCTGTTCTAGTTCTGTTCTAGTTCTGTTCTAGTTCTGTTCTAGTTCTGTTCTAGTTCTGTTCTAGCTCTGTTCTAGTTCTGTTTTAGTTGTATTCATTTTTCATTTAAAATTTATGTAAGTTATGTAAACCAATCCCTTTCAGATTATACCATAATTCATTTTACCTTTACTTTAGCTTAACTTTAATCTATTTCCTTTTTATAATCCTGCTAAACAAAATTGACCATTTCCCACAAAACAATTACAAAATAATTGAGGTAAATAAAAATGACATTTTAGTAAATAAAAAATAAAAAAAAAATAAATAAAAACATAATGGAAAGAGAAAGACAACAGCATAATAAAAATGAAAATTAAAGTTGTAATTATATTTTGATTGCGTGTCTGAAATTCATACACGTACCACCATCGTCACTTCCAATTTTGTAATATGCTGGATGAAGGTGGCAAAAAAGTAACGCCTTAGAATACAAGACTTTATAATAGTCATGAGGTTGGTTGACTGTTTTGTTTTGTTTTTAGTTAAAAAGATACAATAAAAATATCATAGCTAACAAACAAAATATTTAACAATATAGTCTGTCGTTACCATTACTAAACTTTTTAATCGAAAGATAATGGTATGCGGGTGTAGGTGTTGTTGTTTTTTTAGGTTTTCAGGCTTATTTGTTTTCAAAACAAGCATTTTTTATGTAGTTTTAAAAAAATGTAAAGAAAAATGTGGAAAAATATACGCGAATAGAGGATAAAAAACAAAAACGAACCACACTGCGTATACGTGATTTAATTTCCTTGTAATTTATTCATATCATTCATACGACGTGTTGTAATACACACATCTATAACTGACATATTGTGAGAGTTGTTGAGATTGTTTTGCTGTTTTTGTTATTACTTTGGTATTAAGCGAAAAGTTAGCAAAAACAAACATGTGCAATTTAAAATAAATGTTTCGTACATACGAACGAACTTAATTACACGTTTTTTAATTACTTTTTAATATCAAATTACAAATATTATTTGTAAAACATTATAAGATAAAAAATCTCTTGCTTTCTGTTCCTTTTCAAGCTCTTTGACATTATGTGGAGTGACCCGCAGCATAATGAAGGCTGTTTGCCCAATAGTTTACGTGGTGCTGGCACTTACTTTGGCCCCGATATCACTAAACAGTTTCTCGAAAAACACAAGCTAGACTATTTGGTGCGTTCGCATGAATGCAAAGTGGATGGTTATGAGTTTGCCCACGATGAGAAGGTCATTACCATATTTTCAGCTTCCAATTATTATGCCATTGGTTCAAATCGTGGTGCGTACATTAAGCTAAATCCTCATATGGAACCACATTTTGTTCAATATATATCGGCTGCCTCGAAGACACGTCAATTAACATTCCGCCAACGAGTGGGCATTGTGGAAAGTTCAGCTATAAGGGAATTGGGCGCTAGACTGCGTGCTAGGCGCAACGAACTGGAGGCAGAGTTCAAGAAGCATGATACCAAAAATAAAGGTTTGCTAAACTATTCGTAAAACTTTAACATTTCGTTTATTATTTATTTCCTTTCACAGGTTTCATTACTATTTCCAAGTGGTGTGAGGCCATGGAAAAAGCCACCAATTTGGGTTTGCCTTGGCGTTTGTTGCGTCCTCGTTTGGCTCCTTCTAGTGATGACTGTCCCGCCAATGAGGTTAATTATTTAACCACTTTGGAACTATTGGATACAGATACTATAGTGAGTATTTCAAGTTCTTTTTTCTTTCCATTAACAACTTCTTGGTATTTTTCTAAAGATTGAAGCTCAAGAGCAGGAAACCAGCGTGGCGGATTCTTTATATAAAAATGTCAGCAGCTTGGAAGCTATATTCCATATATTGGATTCCGATCAGTCAGGTAATGTTTAAGAAGATTTCTGTCCATTTTGTTTTAGCTCTATTGTAGTACTAATCTATTTTCAGTTCTAGTTCTGTTCTAGTTCTGTTCTAGTTCTGTTCTAGTTCTGTTCTAGTTCTGTTCTAGTTCTGTTCTAGTTCTGTTCTAGTTCTGTTCTAGTTCTGTTCTAGTTCTGTTCTAGTTCTGTTCTAGGTCTGTTCTAGTTCTGTTCTAGTTCTGTTCTAGTTCTGTTCTAGTTCTGTTCTAGTTCTGTTCTAGTTCTGTTCTAGTTCTGTTCTAGTTCTGTTCTAGTTCTGTTCTAGTTCTGTTCTAGTTCTGTTCTAGTTCTGTTCTAGTTCTGTTCTAGTTCTGTTCTAGTTCTGTTCTAGTTCTGTTCTAGTTCTGTTCTAGTTCTGTTCTAGTTCTGTTCTAGTTCTGTTCTAGTTCTGTTCTAGTTCTGTTCTAGTTCTGTTCTAGTTCTGTTCTAGTTCTGTTCTAGTTCTGTTCTAGTTCTGTTTCTAGTTCTGTTCTAGTTCTGTTCTAGTTCTGTTCTAGTTCTGTTCTAGTTCTGTTCTAGTTTCTGTTCTAGTTCTGTTCTAGTTCTGTTCTAGTTCTGTTCTAGTTCTGTTCTAGTTCTGTTCTAGTTCTGTTCTAGTTCTGTTCTAGTTCTGTTCTAGTTCTGTTCTAGTTCTGTTCTAGTTCTGTTCTAGTTCTGTTCTAGTTCTGTTCTAGTTCTGTTCTAGTTCTGTTCTAGTTCTGTTCTAGTTCTGTTCTAGTTATGTTCTAGTTCTGTTCTAGTTCTGTTCTAGTTCTGTTCTAGTTCTGTTCTAGTTCTGTTCTAGTTCTGTTCTAGTTCTGTTCTAGTTCTAGTTCTGTTTTAGTTCTAGTTCTGTTCTAGTTCTGTTCTAGTTTTGTTCTAGTTCAGTTCTAGTTCAGTTCTAGTTCAGTTCTAGTTCAGTTCTAGTTCAGTTCTAGTTCAGTTCTAGTTCAGTTCTAGTTCAGTTCTAGTTCTGTTCTAGTTCTGTTCTAGTTCTGTTCTAGTTCTGTTCTAGTTCTGTTCTAGTTCTGTTCTAGTTCTGTTCTAGTTCTGTTATAGTTCTGTTCTAGTTCTGTTCTAGTTCTGTTCTAGTTCTGTTCTAGTTCTGTTCTATTTCTGTTCTAGTTCTGTTCTACTTCTGTTCTAGTTCTATTCTAGTTCTGTTCCAGTTCTGTTCTGTTCTAGTTTTTTTCTAGTTCTGTTTTAGTTCTGTTTTTGTTTTGTTCTAGTTTTTTTCTAGTTCTGTTCTAGTTCTGTTTTTGTTTTGTTCTAGTTCTTTTCTAGTTCTGTTGAATATTGAAAATCTATCCCTTTTTACAGGCTACATTTCTCTGAGCGAATTCAGTGATGCTTGCGAACTATTGGAGAAGCATTTGCCCGGCACAAATACTCGTGAACAATTGCTGGACATGTGCCGCATGATGGACCTAAACAAAGATGGTCTGGTAGATCTCAATGAATTCCTTGAAGCATTCCGTTTATGCGAACAGGCCAAGAATGAACACACCACGGGCAAGAAAGCACAACACGAAGGAGCAGAAGGAGAGGATAAAAATGAAAAGGGTGGTAGAAGTAAGTTGGTAATGAAGGAAATTAAAGAACATTTTTATTATTACTTGAAATATGTTTGTATAGGATATAGCACCCAGGTGGCATTGGCGGCGGCCCAATTGAAAAAACAACTGCCCGCAGTAGATGAAGATGGTGATAATGATATCGATCCCAATGACAGTGAAACTAATACACTTAAGCGTTAAAAGGGAAGAGGGAAGGAAATGAAGGATCTCTAATACTGAAGCTTTAAATTATTTTGATTTTTTTTTAAGATTTTTAAAAATAAGTATTTTTTTTATATATTATTTAGAAAACTTCGCTTTTAGTGTTATATGGGTTAATTTATGCTTAAATTTTTTAACATATTATTTGAAATAGACAACGAAGTTTTATTTTAGTTTTAAAAGCCATTTTCAACTTAAAAAAACTCTTGCCGTCCATTTTGTTTTTTAGTTGTGAAGTGTTAGCTTATGTTATGTTTTATTTTTTTTTTTTAATAAAAAATATTTTTTTATATAAATTATAAAAGAAATTTTAAATAAATAAAAATTCTAACCTAAAAACGCTTATTGCTATTAAAAACAAGCCAAATTAGTTAAGTTTTTGTTTTGTTTTTTAACAAAAAAAATTAAAAAGTTTATGGAAAAAATTGTTTTAAATTTAACTTATAGAATTACTAAGGCATTTATAAGTTTTTTTGTTCTTGTTAAATTAAGTTTAATTAAAAAAAGTAAAGAAATTGAGAAAACTTAATTGTAAAATATTTTTACTAAAATAAAATTTCTTTATGAATTAAAATATTTAATTAGTATTATTAATTAATGATTAAAAACAATTTAAATAAATTTTTTTTCTTAAGCTTAAATTAAAATAAATTTATTTAAAGAAGAAAAAAGAAACAATTTTAATAAAAATTTCAATTATTAAGGTTTTAAAATTAATTTAAATTATCATAAAAATTACTTAAACAAAACGTTTCAAAATTAACTTAAACATTTAAAAAAAAATGGGAACAATTCTCTTAGAAAATTACATAAATTAAGAAAATAGCTAAATATATATATAAAAACCCTAAAAATGAATGTTAACAAAAAAAAAAAAAAAAAAAAAAAAAACAAATCCTCATAAAAAATAAAAACTAAAAATACTCAAATAAATAAATAAATATTTTTTACAATTTTGTGCCCTCATTAGTTTAAACTGATAAAAGGCAGCTTTAGAATTTTATAAATTCCTTTAAATCTTCACAAATAAACAAAAAATTTTGAAAAAAAAAATTTAATTAAAAATTAAAAATAAATTACAAAATTAGTCCATAAATAAAAAAAACATTAAAAAAAACCCTTTTTACAAAATTCAACACCAGACAACAAAATTTTTTGCTATTAATTGCACTCTCTCTAGAAAAAATCTTTAAAAACAACTCCATTTTGTTATCAAAAACTAAATAACATAATTAAAATTTCTACATTCCTTAACTAAAAACTTTATATACATAACCTATAAAATTAAAAGAAAAACACTTAAAATATATATTTTTTAAATTCTAAGCTGTATTACTTAAAACCTTAAAATAATTTAACTCTTTTTGATGGCTGTTTAAATTTTATAAAATTTTACTTTTGTTTCTAAACTAAAACAAACCAAACAAAACAAATTATAACTTATAAAAGAAAAACAAAATAAATTAAATAAATGTTTGTTCTTAAAATTTAAAAAGAAATACTTTGATTTTGAAAAATGGTCACTTTATATTTAACTTAGCAAAGTCCTAAACCATCACTGTGCAATCACACAAAGTATTGCCATTTAAATACAAATTATTCTAACAGTTACACAGCCAAGACTACAACCAGGTCTATGAGAAACTTTTACAAAGTTGTCATTGGCAGTTGAAAGCAAAGACCACAACCATCACTAACACAGTCACTCTGAAATAATTTTATAAATTCTGTTAAACATATTTGTCTTTATAACATAGTGAAACAGTAGTTACCAACATCCAATGTTAACTAATATATCTGAGACAACAATCATCACAACAAAGCTAGAACATAACTTGAACAAACCTAGAACAGAACTAGAACATAACTAGAACATAACTAGAACATAACTAGAACATAACTAGAACATAACTAGAACATAACTAGAACAGAACTAGAACAGAACTAGAACAGAGCTAGAACAGAACTAGAACAGAACTAAACAGAACTAGAACAGAACTAGAACAGAACTAGAACAGAACTAGAACAGAACTAGAACAGAACTAGAACAGAACTAGAACAGAACTAGAACAGAACTAGAACAGAACTAGAACAGAACTAGAACAGAACTAGAACAGAACTAGAACAGAACTAGAACAGAACTAGAACTGAACTAGAACAGAACTAAAACAGAACTAGAACAGAACTTGAACAGAACTAGAACAGAACTAGAACAGAACTAGAACAGAACTAGAACAGAACTAGAACAAAACTAGAACAAAACTAGAACAAAACTAGAACACAACTAGAACAGAACTAGAACAGAACTAGAACAGAACATAACTAGAAGAGAACTAGAACAGAACTAGAACAGAACTAGAACAGAACTAGAACAGAACTAGAACAGAACTAGAACAGAACTAGAACAGAACTAGAACAGAATTAGAACAGAACTAGAACAGAACTAGAACAGAACTAGAACAGAACTAGAACAGAACTAGAACAGAACTAGAACAGAACTAGAACAGAACTAGAACAGAACTAGAACTGAAGTAGAACTAGAACAGAACAAAACTAAAACAGAACTAAGCAGAACACCCAAACAGCACTAACCTTAAATAATATAGAAAAACTCATTTCTTTAAATGCTCCAAACTCAAAAACTACAACTCCAATTTCAATAAAATTTCTGGACATTATCAAGTAAATTCCAAGCTACAACTTTATATCTTTACAACAACACTGCTGCTATATACAAGAAATTATTTCGAATTTAAAAAATTTCGTTTGCTGTGTTAATATCTAAAATGACTTTAAACATAAATTAATTCTAATCAACTTATCAGAAACTAGAATTCAAGAGCTTTCCAACGACACCCATATCATCTAAATCGGTTAAGCAGTTAATGAGAAATTCCAAGTTTAAGCAGCGACTCTGCAGTACCACCACCACCAATTTGGAAAAAATCGGTAAAACAAATTTTGCCCAAAAAGTCCGGTATTAGGTAAACAGAATCGTCTAGCAAGCAAATTTTTGCTAAACACTTTTCTTTAAATGCTTATAACTAGCAAACTACTTAACGTATAGCAATGATATTGATGTCATATGAAAGCTCTTAAATTGTACTTTATAATGAATGTCATAAACAACACCCCTTGCCACGCCTACTTTATGAAACTTTGTAAACAAAGTTTAACATAGTATTTTTGTGTGGAAATTGTTAATTATTGGAAGAAAATGTGAATGTATCAAAAAGTAAAATTTATTGGCTTTACAATGATGTCAATTTTGTTAAAATCGGTTCATAAATAAAAGAGAAATTCGAAATTTTAATAATTATAGATTGCCACACTTACTTAGTGTAAAGTTGATCACAAACTGTTATTGAAATTGGTAAAATCTTCATGAATTTTAAACCGATTAGGATAAAATTGGTATCATAGGAAAGCTGTTGAATTCTAGTTTCTGTTGAGCTTAAAACTTGTGCGTAAGACAATGTTGTCAATATACAGCACTAAAATTAAAGGAGAACATAATTCACTTTATATACAAGAAAGTGGGAGTAGCAAATTCATAAAATTTAAACCGCTTTGTATAGCTTAAGTTATACGCTAACAGCTGCAACAAGTTCCATTACAATCAGAGCTGTAGTTTATAATTTATAGCCATTTAAAATAATCACTTTTATACAATTTACTACCGAATAGAGTCTAATCGAGGGTTCATAATACTTTGAATATCTCCATTATTATTGAAACGATTTTCATAAAATTGATGTCATTGGAAAGTCCTTGAATTCTACTTTATATTCTATTCACTAAAAATAAATTTAGTCAATATTAATCATATACATTACCAGCTTAAACTTTGGTCATAAAATTTCCCTAAGTAGGCGTGGCAAAATGCGGTATATTTGGCATGCATTGTGTAGCGCAATTTGATATCTTTCATATGACACCAATTTCTTAACAATACGTGCAGTAGTTACCAAGTTATAAGCATTTAAAGAAAAGTGTTGAGCGAAAATTTGCTTGCTTGACGATTCTGTTTACCTAATACCAAACTTTTGGGAAAAATTGGTTTTCAACTTTTTTTCGAAGTTGGTGGTGGTGGTATTACAGAGTCGCTACTTAAACTTGGTATTTCTTATTAAGTACTTAACCGATTTGGATGATGTGGGTGTCGTTGGAAAGCTCTTGAATTCTAGTTTCTGTTGAGTTCAATAAAAGCAACTTATTTTGATATTACTTCTAGAAATTAACACTGTAAGCAATATTTTTAAGATTTCGATCCTCACCTTGATTATGGTTAGTATGTTAAAATAAGTTATAAAATGTTGTAGCTTAAAAATCACTTTATCATTACCGCAAGTTTCATTCAAATCGAATGAGTAGGTTTTCAGTTCGAACCTCTTGAATTTATTCAACGTGAACTGGAATTGAACAATCTAAAACATTGTGGGATAACTCACTCATAACTTTGAAAGCTTTAATCTCAAAAACTACAACTCCGATTTCAATGAAACTTTAGGACATGATAAAGTGAATTCCAGGCAACAACTTTTTATACTTCATATCAACATTCTAGTTATATTCAGGAAATTGGTAAGAAATTAAAAAATTTCTTTTACTTTGTCAATTACTAATAGAAATATTGAAATATGTTAGTTTTAATAAGGTCATCGGAAACTAGAATTCAAGAGCTTTCCAACGACACCCATATCATTCAAATCGATTAAGTACTTAATGAAAAATTCCAAGTTTAAGCAGCGAGTCTGCAGTACCACCACCACCAACTTCGAAAAAAAAGTTGTTAACCAATTTTGCCCAAAAAGTCTGGTATTAGGTAAACAGAATCGTCTAGCAAGCAAATTTTTTCTAAACACTTTTCTTTAAATGCTTATAACAAGCAAACTACTTAACGTATTGCAATGATATTGATGTCATATGAAAGCTCTTAAATTGTACTTTATAATAAATGTCATTAACAACGCCCCTTGCCACGCCTACTTTATGAAATTTTGTAAACAAAGTTTAACAAAGTATTTTTGTGTGGAAATTATTAAATATGACAAATAAAAGTGCATGTATTAGAAAGTATAATTTATTGGCTTTTTAACAGTATTAATTTTGTAAAAATCGGTTAATAAATTAAGGAGAAATTCAAGAAATTCATATCTATAGATTGCCACACTTACATAGTGTGAAGTTAACCACACACTATTAATGAAATTGGTAAAATCTGCATGAATTTTAAACCGATTAGAATAAAATTGGTATCATAGGA